GTTTTTCTTCTCGTATAGGCTACTTGTTTATGTTTTAAAATGGCTAAGATAGGAAAGATGGAATTTTCGTCATAGTACCACTTTTCAATTTTGAGTTTGGTGGTGAAGTAAGCTTTCCTTTTGGTTCCCTGCTTATGTGCTTGTGGACATGTTATGTTCAGCATGGAGTGTCATGGTTGTACATGTTGATATAGCTCCTATCACACAATATTAAACAGCATCTGCAGAGAAGACTATAGGACAAGGAGGTGACATTCTAAAAATGACTGTTATTTTTTTTAATTTTCCTCAATGCAGTGTTGAGCCACAAGAGGGCAGTTATGGAGTTTTTGTGAAAGAAAGTTTTGCACGATGTAACTTAAAGACACCTAATGCATGTTCATCAAGTCCCAAGGTAAGGTTCAGTTGTTTTGTTTCTTCCAGTCTACTGTCACTCTGCTATTTTATGAAGCTTAAATCAAGCTTTTATTGTTAATTTTTCAATAATAAAGTACAATCAGAATGTAAGTTGACGTTATTATTATAATTATAATAATTATTAAAATAATTAGTAGAATGTGTCTTGTAATGTTGAGAGTAATTTTCTTGTTTTTGATTACTTTCTTGCGTACAATCAATGACACAAACTGCAAATACTTTTTATGTTTCTGTGACATTTTAAAGTCATTCCAGTTTTCAGCTCTTCTCAATTTCATTCATTTTTCTGTAAACTACAATGCTTCCTTGTTTAATAATTATCAGGCAAAGTTTTAATGAAGAATTTGTGTGAGCTCAATAAAGAACTATTATTATTATTATTATTGTTATCATTATCGTTATCGTTATCGTTATCTTTATCATTATCATTATCGTTACTTTTTTTTTTTCAGTGTCTATTTACAACACCACCTCCCCAAAGCTCCTCTGAATCTCCAGTAAGTCCTTCCTCAAAAGGAAAAGAGATTGTAGGAATCTGTATCGCTGTACTCGTCTGCGTTGGACTAGCTTTTATTGTGGGAAACTATATCTACAGGCAATTCAAGAAAAAACAAAGGATTCGCTTTGAAGACTATGGCTATTCCAGACTCAAGATGCTGGAGGACGATTTTTATTATGATGTTGAGGATGATGATGAAAACACAGGATTGGTGCAGGCATAGCTGTTTTACAGTACACTCAGTACATTTTATATGAATATCAACGCTGAAATTTGCGAAATTTTCAGAATATTTTAAGAATGAACCCGAGGCTGAGATTTTGAAAAGAAGATAATTTTTTGTGCTGAAAATTTTTAAATGCAATACAATTATGTGCTTTTAACTTAACCATATACGGGGTTCCAGATAAGTTTTCAAGGTAGGGTGTCAACGAGGAATTCCAACGGGTCAATTCCCACTGCTCCCAACAAATCATTATAAATTTTCTATTAATTTTGTCGGGTCATGTAGCTGATTTTGTCGGGTTTTTGACCTGAGACCCCTTACTTATCTGGATAGGCTCGATTTCCGCCGTTTTCTCGAGTCCGTCTACGTTTCTGGAGAGCGCGGGCTCTTTTCCCGAACAGCGGCTGGTAATCGAGCCTATTATCTGGAACATTACATATAAAATTCTTCCTTTCTCTAAATGGAAAAACTAGCCAAAAGGCAACAAAAACAGCACTAGCCGTATGCTCGATGCTAATACCATTTCTGCAAGAAGATATGTGCATCATATCGTGCTTTAATTCCTGCAGGCTGGCTCCAAAATTACTTTAACACAATCCAGACACCAAATACATTCGAAAACAGAAATGTCATGCGCTGTAATCTAAGAAGATTCACAAGAATATTTTCAGCCTAAAATCGGCAGAAAAATAAGAATGTTCAGCCTCGGCCTGAAAAACAATATTCTTATAAAAAAAGAGTGTAGCTGTTCGCCAGATGTTTACCGACTTAAACTTATTCTTAATGCACCGAAACACCAGTTTTGTATTTCTTCTGCGATTGATCTGAAAAACTCAAGAAGAGGGACTGCTATTATTTACTGGTACGACGTTTGCTCGCTTAGCAGAAATACTGAATTCTATAAAAACGCGCTTATAGTTAGATCTTTAAGGAATATATGGAACACTGCTTTTTATTGTTTCTGTTTAGTTTATACTCGCGAACATTCGTGAGATCTTAGAGATGATGTGGAGAACCACAACGGTGTAGAGTTTTGAGTTCTCTTTGACTTCCACAACACAGGAATAAACCAATGATAAAATTTTCGTAAAAACACGAATTTTTTTGTAGAAATTTTCAGTTTTAGTAAGAGTTTGTTCACCTGAAAGTTATCACGGTATTATTAATGTATTTGTTAAGGAAACGACTACTGTAAAGTTATTATATAACGATAAATGGTATCATCAACCAAATTCTTGGAATCTAAATAGACGCCTTAGTTTAGCACCGAATTTTAAGCGCAGCGGTTGTGCTTCCATTGATGGATGCGCTCTGTAGTTTTAAATCGTACACGCTAGGCGGATTTATCAAGCTTGCAGAATTCTCAGTACAATGTCATGGCTTTGTAATTAATTTTGTTTTATCTCGTAAAATGTAATATTATCAATGGCGTAATTAATTTTAAATTGAATCTCTTCTAAACCCCCAATGGAAAAGTTGAGTATTCAGTCGGGACTCTATGCATTTGATGTTGTTCCACCGCTTTGCAAGGCAACTACCTCTTTTCTTCGAAAACATTCGTGAACATTTCCGATTTCTTATATCCAATCAGAAAACAGTATGAACTGTCATGTCAGCCGGTCGCCATAGCAACGTCATCTAACGCCTTTTTAAGACAAAAGATAATCGTATAAAAGATACGCCATTAAATGAAACGAACAATTAAATGAAGGAGTGAGGGTTTACATTTTCTAAAATATAGTAAAGTATAGAATGTAAGAATAATGAATAGTTTGCCTTTCTTCTTGTAGATAAATGCAGGGTAAGTGCAAATAGCTACTACATATATCAATATCGTAATTGTTTAAAAAAAGTTATTAAAAATGAGCATTTACACAATTTGATTTTGACTGCTTTCTTGAAAGACCTTCTTTGTCATTCTACGGCAGTGTTTATGCCACCTAGCATGGCCATTAATGATGATGAAAATAGAGGCTTTCGAAAACGGTTTCAAAAGTGGAGCCTTCTGAAAACGCATCGTTTTGAAAATGTTGTTTCTAGTATGGACAGGAGAAAACGGAGGCTTCTGAAAACAGTGACGAGAAAAGCGTCATATGCTGTCATTTCCATCAGCGTTTTCGTTCGTTTTAGTGTGGATGATAGGCGAAAACGTAACAAAAAGTATGCGTTTTCCAATGAAGACGAATTAGCGTGGATAGGTGAAAACAAGAGCAAAAACGCTAGTGTGGTCAAAAATATTTTGTTTCGTTTACGGATACTTATAACATGAAAACGCAGTAGTGATGTCAGGGCCTTTGAACGGGTAACGTTCTTATCATCACTTTCCGTACCCCTCCTCCAACGCTAATACGGAAAGTAGCCTCATGTATGATGTCACAGAATCTCTGTCCGCTGACCAACTCTTCAGCAACATAGCAGGGAGTTTAAGTAACGACGCCCAGGACGACGTCGATTAAAAAATGAATTTAAATTTTACCTACGAATCTTGCGACACTCAAGTCATTTAGTCTGTTTCTCTTTGTCAAAACTATTCATGGCTGAGCGCGTGCATTGCAATTCTTTCCACATTTCTTTGCCGTCCTCCGCAAAAGAATAACGTGAAATGACCAAATTCTGCGTTGTGTGAAGAACGTTAACTACGATGGATAATTTTTAAATTTTTTATTTCGAATTTTACAGTGTTTTATATTCAGAAGAAGAAGAAGAGAAGAATTTAGTTTTGGGATAGTTTTGACCAAGAGAAACAAACTAAATGACTTTAGAGTATCGCGAGATTCATTGTCCTCGACGTCGGCGTTTTAGTTTCTTAAACTTCCTAGTGCCCAGGATCTTCCGCGCTGGCCGAGTGCAAGCTGATTATGAAGTTTCTTTCTGAGATCATTCACAAACCTCCGCTGTTTTCTAGCAACTCGTGCCTACGCCTCTTGAAAGGTTTGAGAAAAGAAACAATACAAGCTATATAGAAAATAAAGCATTTTATTTGTCGCTATATACCAGTCATTGAAAATGATAAAGTCCTCTAGTAGCGTGGCCAATCAAAATGCAGGATTTGCATTAGTCCACTAGTTGGGTGATACTAATCGTTATTATCCCTCGGAGTGAAAAAAGGTTTATATCAAACAAATCACTCCGCGCTATTTGGAGCAAATCGTATACAATTCAATAAAACACGAAGCCGAATAACTTAATCCTGGCAAAAAAAAAGTGTGCACACCATAACCTATTACGACTGACATATTTTCAAAACTATACTTTATATGACAACCATTGAAAACTTATGACAAACTTCCGAAAAACCCTAAATACTGACGCCCTGAAGTGTAAAACGAAGAAAATAATAAAGAGGCTATAGAAGGAATAAAAAGATAACTTCTATGGATCGATTTTAGTTTCAGGGAAAAGTTCATCCTGCAATGATCCTATCCAGTCTGCTGTTTTATCGACACGAAGTTAAAAGCTCCTAGACATCAAAGAGCCGTTTCTTTCCCCGCAAACTGGTGCCCTAAACTTTCACACGATCCCAGCGTCGTCCCTGTAATAAGAAATAATTTAAGTCAATTAACCGACAAATCATTTTAACACATACCACACCAATGTTCACTGCTTACAAAGTGCGCGAAAAACCTTACATTTTTATCAAAGTGTTTGCCAGCAGTATTCGCTAGTTTTTTTGCCTCATCCATTTGCTATTGTTTCTGTAAGACTACTGAAGTTCACATTTCCAGGCGGCGCAGCTTGTATAAACTGATTTGTTTCTGCATTACGCCTAAGGAATTTTAGGTCTCTTTTCGAAACTGTACTTGTACCGTCACGCAATGTTTCTGAAGCTGTTTCAGTAGAGAAGCGTTGCGTGACATGTTAATCAAACTGTTGGCTCACCTCAGCTGTTCTGTTTCGCTGTCTTCTTCAAAGCCCTGAGCGGATGATGATGGCTGCTGCTGCTGTCTTGCTGTTGTCGTTAGGCTCGCCACTCGAGGTGTCCCGGACTGTTCAACCTGACGATCTCGCAGCTGAAACAGATTTAAAGAATACGGTCCATCAACAAATCAACTCAAGTACGCACAGCTAATTTATCGACCTCGTATTCAGATTGGATAGAAGAGCCATAGCCTTGTGTCATTCAAAGAACATTACATGCCACTGACTAAGAAGCCGCGGGTGCTGTCTCGTCAGCGTAGCTTAGCCTGTGCATAGCACCCCTCTTTCGAACGCACAGTTACATGACGAGCTTGAAAAAGCGTGACGAGCAAGATCTATCGCTCGTTTAAACTCCACTTTTTAAAGAGGGCCTACTAACAGCCTAGGTATTCTGAGAAAAATAAAGATGAAACGAATACACTACTAGCAAAAAATTTCGGACGTTTAATTTTGGGACACTTTTTATCTCACTTCGGACAAATTTCGGTCAAAAATTTCGGACACGCCGCTGAAATATAGATAACGTAAATTTACGCCTACAAAACACGTTTTAGATTGAAACATCATATGTGAAAATGATAGTTTTACTGCCCCTTCAAGGTTTTAAAGATACAACGACGAGAAAATAACAAAAATTTTATTAAGCCGTTACGTGCCTCAAGCAGTGTCTCAACTAGAGTTCGCTTCATTAAGGATACCAGCGGCTTTGGAGCTATTTAAATGTTTCATACTGCACTGTATATATTTCGGACGCCTAAAATTTCGGACGGTTTTATTTTCGGACACATTTCTGTCCGAGATTAAAATAGTCTAAAATTTTTTGCAAGTAATGTAGGTTACACATACTGACGAGATAAGGTTAGAGATACAATTAAACAGAAGCAATTTCGTGCGACGCTGACTTCTTGGTGAAATTTCCTTACCTCGTGCATGTACATCATGCTGGAGTTCATAACCACGTCCCGTACTTGAGCCTGCTGTTTTGGTGTTACAACGGTAGTCCCCAGTGGAGTAAGAGAGGGATCGCTGAGACTCATGGGATTAACATATGGCAAGCCTTGAAACTAAGAACATGACACAAGAGAAACAATTCATGAATACCTGTCAAAAACCTAACACTTGAAGTGCAACATAACAAACAACTCTTACACTGCCTGATCTGTATTCTGGGAGAGAGTTCGCTTCTGACATAGCAGCACTGTGGCTCAGGTTCAGACCTTCTTGGATCGCTGAAGTAAACAAAAAGAAAAACAAAAGGAAACGAAAAAACCCTGGTTATTCAGTTAACGCCTAAAGAATTCAACGAGTTCTCTACAGGTGAATGACAAGGAAATCAACACCCTGGAAAGTCAAAGTTACTGTTTGTAGCTTACAATTTTACTCCCATAATTAGGGAACTTGAGCAATGACGACGGCGACCCCGAGGACAACAACTAATAAAAAATGAATTTATGATTTACTTTCGAACTCGCAATTGTCTACATCTGTTCAGTACGCCTACCGGTCTCAGAACTTGCTCAAGCTGAATATTACGTTGCGAGCAGTTGGTTTCTTCTACGCCAACGTCGTTAGCTGCTTATCTTATCTTATGTAATGCCAGCATTCAATTCCAAATAAAAATACGAAAAACCAGCCGCCGTCGTTCGCGTTCTCCAAATACGCGAAACTTTGTCATTTCACGTTGTTGTTTTGCAGAAGACGGCTAAGAAATGTACAAAGATTTATGACGCACGTGCACAGCCATGTTTCTACTCATCAAACCCTTTGTTTGGTGGCGTTCTCGTTGCCGTTGCCGTTGTGGTTTGCTTAAGATCCCTAGTATCCTACACGGTGAAGCATCTTTGCACAGGTTGTCATAAGCACCCTATTACTCCCGGCATGGAGGGAACGCTTTTCCGCTTTGCGCGGGCAATCATCCTTGAACAAGATTTCAGCGAGATGGCTTACTCTTTGATTCGATGCTACGACTCATCGAAACACGAGGAAAGGGTGCCAGCAAGCTCATTTTTAACGGGTACATTACATTATGATACGCCTAAGAAATGACATGCGCGAATTCACACCAACCATTTTCACGAATTGTGCTGATGAACTGCGCGCCGTGATCTGTCGGTTTCCATGTTGGGTTCCTTATCTGCAAAAGAATACAGTGTTTATGAACAAATGAAGGCAACTTAAAACTCAACACAACCAAGCACTTGTAAAATGATACTTACAGAGAAATGAACAAGAGACAGTTCTGTTTTGCCATGCTCCGCTTGCTCATATTGTGTTGCTTCTGTCATTCCTTGGGTCAGCCACTAAAACCACAAGGGAAGAAAACAAGCATTTAAAAACATGTAGATGGATGCTAAAGGAGCCACGTCACAGTTCGCGCATCTTGAAATGTTTAGCCTAAATTTTTCAAGTTCGTCGTTTGTAATCCGTATCAATCTTCTCCATCCTTAACCATGCTTGTTCCTTTCTGGCTTATTATTATCTCTTTGGTGTTTTTCTATCTAAGTAAACGACTATTTTCAGGTTTCCTTAAATTTAAAGGTAATTTAATGCAAAATACTGTGACTGAAATTGATTCTCGCCGTTCCAAGCGATTCAAGAAACGTTCACCAATCTCGGCCCCCTAACTTACCTCCGGGTTTCCATGCCGTTTAACGTCCATCTGCGCAAACGAACAAACATCTCCAACACCAACAACATCGACAGTGAAATTTCTGAAGAAATCCACGATATCCAGAGATTTGTAGCGTAGATTAAAACACAGAAGGAAAGGTGTCACAATGGGGCTGAATAACTCCTGAATCACATATTCCTGTAACAATAACAGATATAAACATCAAAACGTTGCCTAAAAACGTAAAATGAAAACCCTAAAATTTGGCCGGCTATGAATCTTCAGCTAAACTTAAGGGTATTAAAAACTAAATGTGAGTTTATCAACTTACCGCTTTGTACTGGAACACTTGGGAAAACTTTTGTCGAACCTGATAACGTAATTGACAAATACAACATTGGCGACATAGCACTAACAAAGAATTATTAGGTTAGTAAGATACTGAAACAGAAGCGCGAAATTCAAAACAATAGTTTCACTTCCCTCTTCTAAGACAGTTTCAGTGCAAGTTTTTGAACGAGTAGTTGCGTTGTAAGCCGAGTAAAAGATAGGGTGCACTTCTTGACAGGATTAGTTTACATTGTCCTACATCTGAGCTGTAACATGTTTATTGATCAAATGAGAAGCATATTATTACAAACCTCTCTAGTATGCGCTTTTCCTTTCCACGAGTCAGGAATGTAATGTGTATGGGACACAATTTGCTTCAACAATTGTTCAGGGTCCCATGCACAATTCTACAAAGCAAGAAAGCAATGAAAACAAAGAGAAAGAAAGAAGTTAACGGGACAGTTGACTGTCAAAAGTTAAATGCTTTACCTTCGTTTGCCTTACGCTTCTTTACGGTTTACCTGTTATGCTTTTTGGTTACATTAAAATACCTTAATGTTACATAATTTGAGTTCCGGAACTTTTCGTTTGCTTAAAATAGGTCTACACTACCCATTTCACAAAGAAAAAACTTTAACGTGCGTAAACAATAATAAAACCAACCTCGTCAGGTATAAATATGTAACATCCTCGTATAACTAACCCTGAAAAACCAAGAGAATAAAGAATTTAAGTGAAAATACTTTGCAGGTTTGTTCTCAACAGTGAAATGTTTATGTCCACGGGACTTCAGATCACGGAGGCCCCAGGCAGAACCTGACCGCTCGAACGTAACATTGACATGTTGGTGGTAGGGTCGTCTGATCCTTAGTGTAGACATAGGCTTTTCTTGACCTTATTTTACTATGCCTTACATGAAAGCTTCTCACCTAATACTGCTATGGCAGTCAGTACATGTTCCGCCAGAAGAACATCCCTGTCCAGAAGCGTAAATATCGTCAAAACAGCGAATAGTGCTCCAGCAAAAAACGCCAAGTTCCTGCAACAATATTAGCAATATATTAGCAATATTAGAGTCTTTCCAAAATAATGTTTCAAGCATATCCACCGTTTCATATCCTGTTAATAGGAGTTTTGATTTTCTTTGATCAGAAATCAAAATAACTTCACTTAGAGTTAGTGGCCACTTATAGGATTGCAACGCTTGAAAGAACGAAAAGTTCGCCAATTCCATCACTTAGCCCGTTTTTTTTTTTTAACGAGGTTGCTAAGTCACGTCACGTAGCCTAATGACGACACGCGGACACCACAACTTTTAAATGCTGCAGCTATTCTTTGATTGGACAAGAGGAAACAGGCATCTTTTAGAAACTTTCTGAACACCTCCCTAAAACAGAAACTGCATGTCTGTAGACTTACTTGGCTATGATGGCCATGAAAGGAGAGACGAAAAGATTCATGTACTTGGAGGCTGGCTCGTACGCTTTACTTAATCTGCAAATAAAGAGAAAGCGGAAACAAGTTAAAAGGACGCATATCGCGGGAAACTGGAAGTTCATAGAAAATAAATTTACATCTATGAAGCACAAATTATTACACATTTCGTTTGATTGCTACTCAATGCAAAAACCCAGACAGGCACAATTATTGTCTGCGGAATTCACCCCTCCATTTCACCTACTGGTTCTTGTAATGTCGGATCATTCCTTTTGACTTACCTTGCTTGTAGTTCGTGGTCCAATTCATTAAAATGTCGAAAAAACAGTCTGCCGTAGGCGGACCTTAAAAAAGGCAAGAATATAAACTCAGTCAGCTGATTGACTCTGATGATGTTGGTGAGAAAAAAAAAGACAAAAATTCTCGCTAAATTGTTGAGAAATGTCCACTATATTGCGTTTTCAAATTTTCCGCAGGCCACCTTAGGAAACGATATTTATACTGTGCCTTTCAAAGGAGTTCGGTTAGATGGAGAGTAGCGCGAAAAGCGGCGAGAGAACCCCTACCGTATTCTTTCACTGACTGTTTAGCGCATGTCCCCAGGTTAGCAAAAAACGAACAGCTAAGTGACAACATAAAACTTAAGAATGGTAGCAGGGTTGGTTTGTAATAAACTTAAATACGTCTGGCACTCTTACCATTTGCGTGCTCCGAAAGTATCAGGTTCTCTTCTCACCATCTAGGGACAAAAAATTTATACAATTATACAGACTGCAGAATTGTATTAATCTATTACTGGACTGTCTAAATCGGACTAAGACCTAAAGTTTTACTTTATGGCAAATTCTCATCAACTGCTCCAAGAGGTTTCAATCAAATCTATGATGAGCACAAAATATACGCTAGTATTTTGTTCTTGTTTACGTTTTGTCTTTTTTTACATTTCAACAACTTTATCTTGAGCAGCGGCAAAACGTGATTCGACTTTCAAATCGGCGTCATCCAACTCCTGACACCGGCTGCATGTTTTAGCTTGCAGTTTTGAATTGGTTGGTATCTGTGACTGCCATGATTGGCCACACCCCTCTAAAATGTACCGCTAATAACGTCACTTGGAGGTAGCCAGAATCTCTGGCAACAGAAAAAGGACAGAGCGATCTAAATTAAAGTCCTTAACGTCACTCAATAATGATTTTCAGCCTTAAGGCTGTCACAAACCAAGTGTTATTAAACGGTTCATCTTAGGTTGTTACAAAGTACTTTACACCATTTAATAAAATGTTCCTACCTCTGCATAAGTGAAGAATGAATATAAAATAACCCAAATAATAATGAAAGGGGAAAGTACAAAGTTTGCAATTCCAATCCAGAAAATGCGTCTAGCCAACCTATAATGCGATACAAGAAGTTATTAGCAACCAGAAAAAAGGAACTTTGTTTGCATTACTGCTGTGAAGTACTGTCTGTTCCCTCCACCGGGCTTGTCGGCCCTCAGGCCTTACAGCCCATTCAACAAGATGAGCAAAGAATAGTTCTGGAACTGTCACAGTAACTTAGCCAAATGTCTGGTGGTAACAAGCGAGTTACTAGAATCACCTCCTGGTGGAGTAACCCAATACTGCCAGTCTTTTCATGCTTCAAATGATGGAATTTAACACTTAGCAGTTGTGTGCAGATAGGCTTCTTTTGTAGCTCCTTGATCTTCTCTCCAAATAAATGATTTGGTTTTAGGAACATATACAGTGATTGGCATTTGTAAAAGAAATAGGCAAAAAAATATATATATTTGAATAACATTTTCTGAAAATATGATGTTCAGAGTTGTACTCACCGACTAGCCAACACAAATCTACAAAGAGATAATTAAAAAAAAACATGGTTAAATAATGTTCCACTTACGTGCAAAATGTTAGACTGCATGTTTTAAAACTGGCCATGAAAGTCACAATAAGCCAAATTATTGTATGGCTGTGTCTCACAAGGACTGGGAACTACCGAATTCACGAATTTGATTGGCTGAAATCGATATTGACTGCAGTCTAGATTTTCCCATCTAGACCGGCATCTAGACTGGTTTCATTTTGCGCTGAAAAAGCAGCAAACTTAAGTACAAAAATGTTCACCATATTCTTTTATTTTCTTCTCAATCATTTATGAAGTGCTAAAAAGCCTGATGACAAAAAAAAAAAAAAAAAGAGTAAAGAGGACAAGCAAATTTCGGCAGGTTTAAGTTAAGCTCATTGCCGTTCGCAAGCAAAATGTCAGCAAACCAGTTACGTTAAACAAATTAAAGTTTTCTTCTTTGCCATATAATAACATCTTATTAACCGAGCTAAGTCGCTCTGTATGGGAGAATCATGACCTCGGTCATGTGTACAGACCTCACTGCGTTTGGTCTGTACTTACGACCTCGGTCAAGATTCTCCCATACAGACCTCCAGCTCGGTTAATAAGAGCTAAGTAGTAAAAGTAAAGAATTGCAATGTGTGTAGGAAGAAATCACCTGCAAAAGTGTTGAAGTCTACCAAGTAGCAGTTAAATTTAGTTTATCTATATTACTATATAATCTTAGTTTGCTCTACCCATTTACACAGTGCAAGTTATGTAGATTGGAGGATATAATACTAATTATTATTTGCTGGTCACCTGTTTGCTGGATTTCTGAATTCTTCTCTTAGTTTCCAGTTGTTCTGGAAAGGACTTCCTGGGCCCCAAAATAAAATCAGTTTTAGGTTGTACTTCATTCCCTCTGTCAAAAATGCCCTGAGAAAACAATGACAAAAAGAACTGAACTCACAATCAGGTTGGCCGTTGGAAGGAATTTATTATCTGACCTAAGAAAGCAGTATAAAAGAGAAAAAAAAGCCCGGTTCATGAAAACTTAAAACTGTAATCTGTGTTCATCATTGTTAATTGTATGCCATTTGACTTAAGGTGGCTCAAAACAGTTTCAAACACTTAGATTTTGATGGGTTGTTATAACCACTCTTTATCACTTGATGCTACAATCATGGTATCAAAAAACTGCCCAATGATTGGTGAACACATTGTTACCATTTTTGTGATGCAATTTGGCAAAGTTTTAAAAAGGCAAAGTTTAAAAAAATTCTGTAGGTAGGATTCAGAGCCACCTTAACTTTTCGAAAATTTAAGGTGGCGCTGAACCCTACCTACAGAATTTGTTTAAACTTTGCCAAAAGTTGCGTCTTATCACGCTTATCAAAAGTTGATAATATAATTAAATGAATTATAAGCCCCCAAAGCTGTAATTAAGGGTGTTTTTAGGAGGTCATACTGTTGCTATGGTAACCTATTGTGTCACAAAAATGATAACAACGTGTTCACCAATGATAGGGCAGTTTTTTGATACCATGATTGTAGTATCAAGTGATAAAGAGTGGCTATGACGACCCATCAAAATCTAAGTGCTGGAAACTGTTTTGAGCCACCTTAAAAGCTGAAGATGAAATTATAGTGGGTGATTTTCTTTCGCTCTTTCTCAAGTCAAACAAGGAATTCCAGTTGGTTAAAGTAAAAATGGAAATCCAGAAGGGAGTAGGGACTAATGATTTTGGAATTTGGAGAGCATGAGGGGTATCTAGGGCATTTTGGAATTTCGAAAGGTAAAGGGGGGGGGGGGGGGNGGGGGGTGTAAAATGTTCATGCCGCCTGTAGTAGGGTATGGATTTTTTCTGGAATCACCCAAGGCCTGACAACAGTCAGTCTTGATGAGAAGTAGGGTCTTACCAACAGTGTGGCTGAAATCACAACTTTGCCCGGGTAAGAACAAACCCAGGCAAATTTTTGATTCTTTGACTTAATAAAAATGACAACTTACCTCTCACCAACAAATGGAAAGGTATACGTGCAGGAAATAACTGACTTGTTCTGCATTGCCAACATGTAGTTTTTCCATCTTAGAATGCGATGATGGATATCTAAATAAAATAATCAAGTTCAACACTAAAGCTAGCTGCAGCCTCAGAAAACAGCCATCTCTTATACAAATCACTGAGGACTTCAAATGATCTAAATTATATGTATGTCATGTCTCGTTAAACCACAGACTTTACATTTACGTGCATATAAGGTGTATCAACATGTTTTTTTACTTTAAAAGTTCCCGAGGAGGTAGCGAGAAGAGGTTTAGCTTCAGTTGTCAATACACTGAAACACATCACTGTTACAATTACTGTAAGCCTTCAGTCAAGTCTGTCAGCATACTTCATAGGCCTGCAAAGCATGAAAAGAGCTCACAGCTTCTCAACATGCATTGTAATGCTAGCCACTAATACTTGATCTTTTCTAAGCCAACTTGAAATGCACTTGCTAAACTAGAAAACAAGAATTTTACAAGGTTACAAACCAAGTTCTGACAGTTCCTCCTTGTGCACACACATCTGATGAACCTTCTGAACTTCTATTAATCGTTTCTGAACATCCTGCCACTGAAGGTTTGTTAGTTCACTCTGGAGACAAAACAAAGAAATCACAGATTAGAAAATTCAATAGTAAGTAAAACTAGATGAGGCAAATATGTTTCAAAAACCTGGCTGCCTGCCTATGTCATTGACAAAAAGAGAACTTAAATCCAGCTGAAATTTCATATGAAAACAATGACTTGCAATGGGTAAACTTTGGAGCTGCCAAGGCCAGAAAAGTGGACTGAAAACTACAGTAAAAGTTCCTTTCAAATTAACGTTTTCCTACCTTAATTATTTAGTAAAAGAATTTCCACAGTATACTTTCATTAAACATTACCTACCTCTGATATCCTCAGTGCATTTTTATAAAATGCTCGTATTTCCAGAAGCTTAAAGAAATGGATCACAATTCTTGCCACACGAATCAACCAGAAAATAAATGCTATGACAAGGCAAACAACTATGGCTGGCTCCATACTGTAAAACAAAATATATATAATATATGTTACATTTGATTTAAGATTAATAATTTTGCCCAATTGTTAAGTATCACAGGGGTTTCATTAAGGGCTGGGCACTGGGCAAATTGACCAGCTGTGAGGATGATTTTGTCAGTGCGACCATCTGGCAGAACGTTTTTGTTATAGAGAAATTCAGTTCAAATAGTTTTGCCTGCCCTTGAAAATCAGTTGCCCTTCTGCTGAAAACGTTAAATGGAACCACTGGTATTAGTTATTTCCATAAATACATCAAACAAAAAATGCCGCAATCTATCACTTACTGCTGTATTTTGTGGAAATACACTACATTGGAGAATGAAGGTTTCTTGTGGTTGAACAAGTTGTCATAATCCACACAGAGAACCAGGAATGATGTAAACAATACTACAAACACAAATTGACTGCAAGAAATATAAATTAAAAAAACTCTTAGTTAGATATAAGACACATTAACTTTTAAAACTCTGTGAGGTTTTACTTTAGTTTTACTTTATAATAAATAATATTTATTAAAACAATTTTACTTCTTTATCTATTCCATTTTGAGAAAAAAGGATCCTCATATTTTTCTTCTGGTATGTGTACATGTTATGTTCTTGGGCAGAACACTTTACTCTCACAGTGGCTCTCTGTATCCAGGTGTATATTAAATGGGCACTGGTGAATTTAATGCTGAGGGTAACCCTGTGATGGACTAGCATACCACCCACATGGGGAGTAGAAATACTCAGGCAGCTACAGAAACCAGGATAAGCTCTGGCCTGATGGGCTACTTGGCTTGTATGCAGATTTTATTTACATGTACATGTAACTGGATTTAGGGTTTTAATTCCCTGCTCTATCCCTTGGAACTTTTTCTACTTGCAATGTCAGTGGTTCAAATTTATTCTTTGAATAGCAGTTAAAAACGTTTACAAGACACTCACACTAGTTCACAAATCTCATTCAGAAGAATACACACAAATCCATTGTTCCTGTGATATTCATATATGTAATCAATAGTCAAGGATTAGAAAAAAGTTTTTGCTACTTCATAAGAGTGAACTCAAGGGAGAAAGTGGGAGAATAACCAATAAAATAATAATGTTACTGTAAGCAACAACAGATCTTGAAGAGCCCCCAGAAACACACACACAAAAAAAACATTGAAAAGAAAATGCTGAACAATCTTGTCATAACATTGACATTTTGGTTCTCACCTTGGGTAAACTGTTGCAGACACTGTAGAGCTCCACTGCATCANAAAAAAAAAAAAAAAATTGACATGTAAAGAGTGGTTCTGAGATAGTCAAGTCTGGTATGTGAGTGAAGAACAGGGCCATAGATAGTATTAGGTAAACGGAGGCGCTTGCCTCAGTCATTTGTTTTGTATTTTTTTAAGGAGAAAAGTTAAACACTGCTAAATACCTAGGAAGAGAAAATTATCTAACCATGGACTTTGCCTCATAATTTTTTTCTGGCTACGGCCCTGAAGAAAGAGTCAAGAAACACCCTAGGTTGACTCCCAGTAAGTGTACAAAGGTGTAGTAATCTTCATGATATTTCCCAGTAGCAGTGGCATGTTTCAGCTTTCAACAGTCAATTTTTTCCCTACCCACAGGTATTATTCTTTGTAACCCTGTGTTCCTCTGAGTGGCCTGGGGGAGGACAGTAATATGTACATAACAACAAAAAGCTAATAACAGTGGTTGAAAGAAAAGACTTTTAAAACAATGCAGTTTAGAAAGGATATCCGTATGAAGAATTCATCAAGATTCTCTATGTGATTCCATCGTCCTGTAAGATAAAATATAACAATAATTGGTTAACGAATGGTCTAAATTTTAAAACAGTTTCTGTTTGACTGATTAAGAAAACAGTCTCAGCCAGCTCCATAAAGTTCAATTAAAGACAAATTTATGAAGCCGTCTGTTTAAGATCTCAAGATCTGTACTTATTCAAATTTTGAATTTATTTTTTTCATATTCCGTGACACTACTTCGTATGTACTTGTATTTCGTATATCCAAAATATCGTGCAGATCTTCCCGCCTAAAAAACAACGGTCACAAAAGAAGAGTAAACATGTACATAAGCTAAAGTAAATACTGCCGATATTAACATGTACCTTTCTCGACCTCCTCAAATCCGCGGGCAGCAATATCAAAACCTTGCGGAGGTAAGTCCTCTTCAGGATCATCTGAATTTGAGTTCAATCTGGTGTACTGCGTGCGAAATCCTGACATATCTCTCACTGCTTGCTGGTCTGCTGGTGTGAAAGTCACGTTATTTTGGCGTGTATCTTCTCCGACTTCTCATTCATAAAACGTTATAGCGACATCTCTGCCTTCACCCGGCTGTACGTCGACATACAATTCACAACAGATAAGTGTCTCCTCTTAAAATTCATATCTGGAAAACCATTTTAAAAGTAATATTCTTGCTACATCGAGAATGCAAGTTTCTGTATCAACTACGCCATCTTATGCGTCATCGCGAACAAACTCTCCTTCCTAACGTCAGACCCAATGTATCTTTGTTTAAACCTCTCAGTGGCTGCAAGCTTGGTTTTAAGGAGGGAAGTAGCGGTTCCTCCTTGCTATCTTTTCACAAATGGACCTGAATTTTAACAAAACCTTCTCGTCTTTCGTCACCCCTTTTTTAGTCGAAATTTTACAGCCTTTGTTTATGTTGCAGGGAGCATGCGCAGCTTTTCGGGCCCAGTCTATAGGAAATCACGCGGCCAAACGGCTGAAGCCTGTGCTTGTTGATGAACCGGGGGCCTTAACCGTAAGCTTTCTAGATCTTTTCTCCAATATTCCCAATTCCCACTCCGAACTGGTAACTTTTTTCCTTCGTCCTCCCTGCGCTTCAGTTTATACGTGGAGAAAATAATAACCGTACCCTTCCTACCTCCCGGCCTATTTTCACGGTCATTTTGGCCGATTTTGGAGGAAGTTTTGTTCTTTGATTGAAGGAATATTTCTGTGGTTATAGCTGCTGTTCGACAAGTATTTTTGTGGTCTAGAAGTGTCCTAGTGAATTCATGACATCTGCGCTGANTTTTGGAGGAAGTTTTGTTCTTTGATTGAAGGAATATTTCTGTGGTTATAGCTGCTGTTCGACAAGTATTTTTGTGGTCTAGAAGTGTCCTAGTGAATTCATGACATCTGCGCTGACCTGACGAGGTTTCACTGGTAACCTCGCTCCCTGGGCTTTTAGAAAAAGGGAAAAGCCCCGGAAGGAAGTTGCTTGTGAAGAGTTGGTTTCATTAGGGCTATTGCAGGCGTAGGGATGGCGGAGCGTATTTTGAATTGGGCGGGGTGCGGGGCTTACAAGACCTACATAACTTTTAGGGGGTCTGGAGATGTTTGTAAAATTATTATTTTATGTATTTTTTGCTTGAAAGTAGGGGGTGCGGGGGAGGGGGGGCGCGGTAAAACCCCCCAACCTCCGCCGTTTCTGAGGCGAGTTATAAATCGAATTCTAATTCTTTCTTACTTTGATGCTAAGCTGCGTTAACTGCTGCCTTGCATTTCCGGCTATCAGCAGTGGCAGAAGATAACGTGTATCACACCGAGAGGGTCACAAGGCTCGCACAGTACCGGTGTACTGAATTTGCGGGCTACCCGTGCTGCATGTCAATCGCGTAAGGAGCCTTGGAGTGGGCGAGCAGTCAATCATTTCATTCTAGACACGGAGCTGTCAACATCTCCGGGTCGCGATACACACAAGTCTCTTATTTCTGCTATTACTGCGTACAGTGCTAATAAAGACCAATAAAGTCCGTCATTCTGAAACTCTTTTTTTCGAATCTGAAACATCTGACGCGTGGAAAGAGTTTGTAAAATGTTAGGTAGAGTTGACATTGCCAATGGAAAACGCGTGCTGGTAAGTACATATCACTTTCTGTTACATCGATTCTCGCTGAAGCGTTGTTAACCTTTAGAGCTGTATTTCACGAATGCTTTAGTCGCCTTTCTTTTCGTAGGTTATTCTCGAGATTGACGAGAGCAGAAAGGATGAGGTTATTCGTCTTCTTCAAGAAACAGAGGTGGGCTGCGAAGTTGTTTCCGTACGCCGCATCCAAAGTGGAAACGGTCAGTAGACTACACTGAGTTTGAACATTTGATTTACAACTTATCTCTCCTTCGTAAACTCGGCCTCTCGAAGAAGATTGCAAACTTGATTGCAGGAAAGACTTCGGCTAGTGAGAAAGTAGAAAAACTGTTCGGGGATAATTTGATGTAACTGCACCGTTTTGAGAGACCAAAAGTTTTTGAATTGCGCGCTTTTTCTTTGTGATAATAACAAATCCAACTTGATTCCCCGGTGTCGAAGGTTACGTCATCCTGCTTCCGGCGAGACCTAACACATTCAATGTGGATTTGCATCCGTTCTTTCATGTACTTTTATTAGAGCAGTGGGTATTTCTGCTCGGGCGGAGTTGTTTGTCGCAACGTGAAATTTTGTTGATGAGGGAACAGTTTCGAAATTTTTGGTTTAGTTTCCCAAAGATATGGCAATTACTCCATGGTTTCTGATATATACAGTCAGATACAGTGTGTATATAAAAACTGCATATGATCAAGTGAATATATCTGGCATATGCAAACTTGAACAATTCCCTTCACGTGAGTTGATTTCTTTGTAACAATATGAGATGATCACAACAAGTTGTCTGCGTTACTCATGGTAGTTACCCTTGGGTTGCCCCTGTTCACTTCCATCCGATTTTTTTTTACAGCGAGGAAGCGTTTTGCCGTGCCTAGCGATGACGAACCACTACGGCCATCACCTGTTCATCTCTTTCCCAGTAAAAACGAAGAAGCCGTTGCTATCTACGACAACAATCAGTCCAGCAGAGCCGCGCCGCCGCAAGTTCAAGAGTACGTTCCCAACCTGTGACTTCTGTCTTTGTGCTCCGTGCGAGTCACATCTTCCGATTTCAAGCCCAACCATAGACCCTATTCATAAATGGCTGCCAGTTAAAAATTATTTTGTATGTATTAAAGTTAGCCCAACTAACCTCGTTTTTGAGTTGATAATTCAAAAGAATTTTTACTCTCTAACGAGGTTAGTTGGGCTAATAAAAGAAGCATACAAAAGAATTTTAAAATGGTAGCCATTTATGAATAGGGTCTATTGATTATGAGTCATGATAAGAAAATAGGCGATTTGCATAATGGCGTCATCATTTAACTACGACAGAGACGAACTACAAATAAAGGAAAATTTACAATCTTTACTAACTGACTGTCAGAGATGAATCTGGGTCAAGCTGGTCAGGCTGTTCCTCTTCAACGTCCAGTGATATAAAATATCTTAAGAGTACTTTTAATTCTTTCTTTTATTTACAAACAAATTGCAGTTCATAACTGTCTTGACTGGGTTTCTTTTCAACTGATTTCTACAGTTTTCGCTACAAGAAAATCTTATTTTATTTGAAAATGTTAAAATGATAAGCTGTCGATATTTGCGTGTCGTCTTTTGTAAAAGTATGCTATATCTTTCAAATTACGTTACGGGTGAGAGTGTTTTATGATTTTCTTTTGAAACGAACTTAAGTTTCTAATTCAAGTTCTCCGGGAGTTTTAAACACCCCGGGGGAAGGGGAACTCCCATATAAAAGGAACGGGGTGCTTGTCGTACCTTTTAGGGGTTAAAGACGCGGTTTTGGCACCTTTTAGGCTACTCAGCCTCAAAAGGTCCACAACGGCAGCTTTTACGGTACCTTTTATTGCATTGAATCGAAAAAAGTATGATAGGAGATAGTGTTGTTTAGAATTGGTACCTGTTAGGGGTGAAAAACATTTCAAGCCACGCCCACAAAATTTCCTTTCCTTTCAAAATTTCCGACGAGCACCCCCGTCCTTTTCATATGGGCGGTCCCCCGGGTAAACATACGGTACTCATTAGATACTGGATTTCATTCCTTGACTGCATGACTAGTTGAAATATAATTTTTCTTGTTTTGAGTAATGGAAGGATGGATATCTTCGGTGATTCAGGTGGATAAACGGTTTATCTTCCTGTTATCTGTTCGACGAATAACAAGACTTTAGACTTCAGAGTCGGTCCGTCAGTTCCAGGAGGGGTGAAGTCAAATTGTCCGAGTTAAAACTGTTGTGAAGAAGAGTCTGAAGGTAAGGCTCCTCTGTGTGAACGCAGTAGTCGCTGTTTCCTTCCGGGCTGGAGCTATCCGACCAAATGTCTAGACAAGACGAAGACAAAGAAAGTTAGCAACAGTAGGTGAAGACTTTTATTGAGCCTACTGGCTTGTCGTGTTGGAGCAGTTTCTAACTCATTAGGAGTACTGCTAACCACCCCACCCCGGATGGGATGTTAGTCCACCGTATGTTACCCCTACCTCCGCCGCATTATGCTAGGTGACCCTAACAGTACCCGTCATATAAACTTCTGTTCTTAGGCCATCGTAGCTTGATTAAGAATATAACACAAATAGCGTTGATAAACGTTGTATTCCAACGAATTTTAATACAGAACTTGACACGTTTCGTATGCTTGACGTTATGTATTTTGACTAACATACGAAGTCAAGTTCTATATTAAACATGCGTTGAAATACAATGTTTAGCACGCGTCATACTTCAGACTGAAGAGACGCACTCTGAGATCATGGAGTTAAGTGTCTTAATTACCGTGCTCAAGAACATGACACGCAAAATATGACTAACTGGTATCTGAGATAAAAGAGATGGAGCCGCGAGATACTGAGAAGGAATCGTGATTCCGCACATTCCTGCTTTTTACAGAAATTATAATTACTGTCCACCTAAACAGTGTTTAAGCTTTAATACTTTTACTGCCTTTAAGTTAGAAACAGCAATCTACAGCTTGACCTCCTTCTGACATGAATACACCTCAGAAATACTGAGTTGCCTTGTTATAATACGTATAATGCTTGATGAAAAGGCACGATCGAAGGCCGTGTACTGCATGCGCCATGGCAGCCACACACGTACGTCACTGCTAATGTAATCGCAAGGTTTAGTGGAAGCTTTTAGCAGCATTATAGCTAAGCCGTATATTTTTTTTATTTACTTGTATGTTAGACCTTTATAAAGCGATACCACGTCAAACTCGAGACTGACTCATAATCATGTTTTTGTTCACCAGTTGTTTTGGCAGCCTCAGTTAGTACTTCGACAAGAAATTAAATGGATTGCAACAACTTGGCGCTAACTTCGAGTGGGATTAAAAATATATATTAAATATTAATTGAATTAACGAGGCGTCGTGATAGCAAGACGTGGGTATTAACCCGGCATTAGTTTTATCTTTGTGGTCAGCTTCATTGCAAAGAATCCAGTTATCTAAGGCAGGTTATTTAAAAAAATGCGCATTGAAAGATGCCCCTGCATCATTAAGGTGTGAGCTCATTTCCTGAATGGAAGATTTAACTCTAATATGCTGTCATATTTCTTGCTCTTCCTGATCTTTTAGAATAGGTTTCATATAATTTAAAGTGGCACTCAGTCAAAGCTGAGTTATAAAATCTTCTTTACCTTGACTATCAGGGTAATCCTGATTTTCTGCAGTAATGACGACAACAACTGTCAATAGATAATTATTTTCAGTTATCAATTCAAGCATTTAATCAGGTAAGACCAATTAGACAGGAGCTAAATTTAAGTCCACTCTGATCTGGGATTGAGCTCACCCTGATAATCGAGAAAAATCTGCGATTATCTCTAATGATTAAAGTGTTCACCTTTTCCGCTTTGCAAATGAGGTTAAACACACATGACGTTTCCGTTTTATCTCTGCTTCCCAACGGGGTCATAAACGTTTATACCCGTTCGGTACCACATTGCCTGACAAACGACTGAAATAGCGCACGCGGGCTTCAAAGGGATAGCGTTGCCTCAATGTAAGCTTATCCGACCTGTCATTAAAATGGCAACATTGGCTTTTTTTACCTAGTTGAAGACAATACGCGAGACGAAATCCAACAGGTAGAGTCTATATAACACAAACAAAATAACAAAATAGCATCCAGAGTGATGAAGTCTGTATTCTAGGTAATTTCATGCGTTAGTTATCACAAGTCTAGCAGTAAAAATGAGACAAATAAAAACAGTTTCTCAGTTCCTCAACATCTGTTTTAATGTCACCTTCAGGTTGAGAATCAAGATAACTTTCTCAATCTGTTAACTTCAAGTTTTTGACAGTCAGTATATTGACTTATAGCAAACCGATCGTCTGGAGTCGCTTTGCACTGATCTGAATCTACAGGTCTAACTATCGCTGCCATGAAGGAACTCTCTACGTTACTTTAGTCAATAGTGTTACACGAATAGTCAGCCAGACTTTTCCTAGTCTTCCTCAGTCTGCAGAACAGGCGAATCGATTTATGTAATTTCGTTGCTACCTACATCAAAAACACGAAAACCCTGGGCTAAACTATATATGGAATTTTTCTTGAAATATTCATGTCTTGCGCGTGGATAAAACGTCTGCATTGTAGTATCAGATTGTAGCAAGCATGTCTTATACTTAATTAATTTGTCTACTGAATCAAGATGTTGAACTTGTAAAGTATAGCTTTATGAGCAGTTTTTCGTGTTAACACACAGATCTGGCTCCACTTTATAACCAAATTTTTGCTTCAGTGCCAGAAAAGGGCAACTTTCTCCAAAAAAAAGTTTCCACCTCCTCGGCATATTACTAATACTACACCAGAGGTGTAAATGCGAGGAAACTACGCACTGAACGGGAGTAGAAATTAGCTTAAGTGTCAACTGATAAACTACATCACGCCCATTTCCCGAAATTACGGTGTAAGATTACAGCGAACTTAATACAGCTACAGGGTTACAGTAAAAGACGTGCACGATATCATTTTTGTTGTTTAGCTAACGGTACGAGTTATAAAATGCTTTGTCAGTTATGACATGAGATTGCAACACGATACGAAAACAGATAGAACAACTGTAGGAACTAATGAGCCCAGATAAAGACTTTGTGGATCAAAATTAAACTGTAAATGTAATCCTAATAATTCCAGTCGATATAACTTGTTTATCCCGGTCATAAGAACTTCAGAACTCGCGATCGTCCTCAAATAGACTTGGACTCAAATCAACAACTGTAGTTCTGCCACTCTGTTGCATTGAAAGACTTTTTAGATTAAAAAGTAATCTTGAAAACAACCTCCTAAGATTCACTGAGCCTTCTAAGGGATTGTGCCCACCGGCGAAAACTGAAGCTTTGTGAAACAAAACAAAAATTCTGGTATCTTTAATCGCTTTATGTTATTTCTTCTTATGTGTTATTTATGATTAGTTCTAAAAGGAACTGTTTGAAGATAAATTAAAATGCTCTAGTACGAGCAAAACTAGAAAGAGAGAATCTAGTGATGGAAACGCTCAAAATGTTACCATTCGCAATTTGCAATTTAAACATTTGAATATTTGCATATGGTACTAACAGAGACGTGATGGAATTGCCCTTTTCTTGCCAAAAAATATTTTAGCAGCTTATATGCTAACTGCGTTAAATGATAAGCGAAACCCGCTTTTTAAAATGAGATAGGAAATTTATTATTTTTTGGGGGGGAGGGCAAAATTGACAGCTTATAGCATAAGCAAGCGGATTGTCGACCCGTGGGAAACAGATAAGGTAGGGTTGTGTTATGTAGTCTTGGGTGGGCCAGTACGATATCATGAAAGAACTATAGGTCATACAACGCATGCCCGTGATTCAAGAGGTTTGCGAATTGCTATGATGCACTAATCCCCGTTTAATCCTGCAACGTGGCGTTAAAAGAGAAACAACTCATGCTGGCTTCTATAAACAAAAAGAAGCGCTTTCAGCAATTTATTACTGTTATTTACGCATGTGGCAATAACAGGTAGTTTTAATTGGCAAACCGTTTAACAAAAAAGATCTTATCTCTGATTTGCAACTTTCGTTAAAGAGCACACTGTGTAGAACTGATAGTACAAATGCCTCATTAGTTGTAATTTTACTCAAACTGAAGATAAATGATATCTTTGTTTACAACGTGGTACGGTTGTCGCTTTCTTCCCTCAGTCAAGAGAAACTGAAATATCTCGGCAACCGGAAACGAAACCACGTCCCGTGTCGGGATTTTTCAGCCAAGCTATTTACATCTAAGTTTAGTCTAAACACAGCTATTTTATAATTTGATTTTTATGGCTTTTTCACTCTCAATCGACAGTGACACGGCTGGAGACCGATGAATAACAATTAAGTTATTATCTGGGTGTAGATCATCATGAGGAATTTTTAATAACTTTTTTTTCTTGAGTCTGGCCTTGGAATTTAAATAAACCTAAATAGGTTAAATTGTTTTTTCATGTGACTTTTTGCAATGACTCGAGGTCATCTAGCAAGCCGGCATAGCTTGGTCAGTCCATAATTGGACTCAAGTTGTATTTTCGGTAATTTCGCTGTAAATATAGTACAAAGTAATCTAGTTCCCTCAAAAATAACTATTCTAAACAATTAGAAACGGCATTGTAAACATAAAGGAGTGAGATAGCGTCTGAAACGATCGACTAAAATCAGTTCGTAAACCTGAAGCTTTGGGGCTTCTAATTTCTGTAACTATGGAAGAGAGCACTCTTCGATCTACAATACGAGTTCGAGACAGATAAGTAACTTCGTCCTAGACCAGGTTGATCCATATTTAGCAAACTAATAGATTTATATAAAGCGTAGAGGTCTTGTAAACGGAAAATTTTTGACCACAAAACACATCATATCTGCTCATCGGGGAGCACTAATGGTCGGCGCGTTTGATGCATTTAGAAAGAAAATAAATCTCGACAACTTCATAAACATAAGGAACTGGTCTTGAATAAATTTCACGGAAGCTCTTTTGTCTGAAATCAGAGTACAGTTAAAATGTCTGAATAAGCTGTCTTCGTTTTTTTTTAATCATCCAGCTTTAAGACGTCACAACTGATCCTCCAAAAGACCACGCGGATAGTTGGAAGGATAAGCTTTTCCGCTTCACGTTCAGTTTTATTTGCTCGAAGGATAACTTTATTTAAAAAAAGGTCGATTTTTGGTTACTGAGAATTTTTAATCAATATTTAAGCCGCATAAAGAGGAAGAGGATTCGATCGAACCTTGAGACAGAATTAAAATAAATCGGAAATGGCCCAAGTTACAAATGAACCTCATTTTGACATAAACTTTTTTTAAGGGCATAGATGAGTAAAAATATCCCAGGATTTCTTCTCGGGCGAAAATGCGAGAAAGTTACAGCAGGGAGTGATGTATGAGAGTACAGAGCATAAATGTGATAGTTGAAATATAAGATGAAGGGAGCAGCTTCCTTATAAGGCCCAGGGTCAAAGCGGGAAAATCGGAATGTTGGACGTAATCGATCTAGCCTTGTTGAAAAGTGAATGAAAGGCCAGATTTCTACGTTGTTGTCTTTTTAAACAGCGTGACTGATTTTACTCTGCTACTTTTAACATATCCGGAAAAAAACAGATTAAAAGTGTGACACTTAAAAGAGCGCTCTCGGCGAATCCGTCCCTTATCATTAGTTTTTAAAAGCTTGAAAGCGTCAAGCCCCAGACATTTTCCTTCTTAAAACTGGGAGGACAGAGATTTGGCCCTTGCGCTGCACTGATAAGGATGCAAAAAAATAAACAAACCCAATGGAACCTACCTTGTCCTTGTAGAAAATAGTCCTGTTCTAGCTCGCGATGGTCGATCGAAAAATCTTCTCCCAGAATTTCATACAACTTGGGCTCGACAGTGTATTTTGGCTCGGAGTGTATCCTTTTGTCCTGGTCTAATAGCTTACTCAGGTGTTCTATCCACTTAGTCGCAACTCTCAGGATGTCAATTTTAGAAATATCCACAGAATCAGCCACGGGAAGTGCGTTTTTCAGCTCTATAAACGCACGGTTGACTCCTTGTATTCTTCGGCGCTCCCTTTCATTCGCTGCACGCCGCTGGCGACTAACTCCCGTTAGCATACGTTTTCGTCGCCTCTTTAGCTTTCGTCTCCCTAGTGGAACGACAGGACTACCAAAATTCTCTATGTCCCCATCACCGCTGATTGAAGAAGAGATGGGAGAGTTTTGCTCGGAGCACGACAAAGGACTCACAGCGTTTTCGTCACAAGCCCATGTTGGTTCCGATTTTACTGACAACATGTTTGCGTTCCAGCACGTTGCCCGTGTCGAGTCTCTAGTGGCAATGACAAGTGAAAAACGCTTTTAAGTGATAGTACAGCGTTTGAAAGATGATACCGCATTCAGAGCCAATGGTTGGCAAATGGTAGTCCGCAGTCAGTGGGGAGAGCATTTGGGGCCGGGCTTCGATTCTACTGCAAGGGTGTCGATTGCACTCGACTGATAAACCCTTTAAAAGCCATTAGGTTTAGTTTGATTGGCAGGCAAACCAGACGTCCTTGGCGATTCCGTCCAAGCCCTTTTAAGTTCCAAACATTTCACCATCAGGACACCCTGAGCTCATGTCGGAATGAATTTGGCCCCGACATATTTTTGTCGTTACTGATATCCGTCAGCGCAAAGTGCGACAAAATATGGCGTGGGTGCAAACTAAGCCATGGGCTAATTGTTTCGTCGCTGTCTTAAGAACAAAAGCGGTATTTCAACTATAGAAACGGTGCCGCTTCTCAATTGTTCTACACAATAATTAAGTCATTTATTAATGGAAGCTCATTAAAATATACTTACCCCTAACGGTGTTCCAGAAGTCAACAGGTTAGAATAAAAGTGTTATCTAATTTTGGAATAACTCAAGCGTGCATTTCTGAGAGATTTGTTTCATGACCGGTCCGTTAATACCCAAAATGGTTCGGTTGGTCGGGCTGGGTTCTGTTATCATTCCATAAATGACTCGAATGCTCCAGCGTTGAAAAATGGAATCTATATTTACGTCACAACTCACCTTTTACTACGGAAATGTTTCTTAAACAAGATTAGCTCATAGACTAACTTGATGACATTGAAGAATCAGTCAATTAAATAACACTCAAACCGATTAGTAGCGAGTAAATTGCGAAAATTGAATTTTTTTCGCATTTAGACTTTATATCATGGAGAAAAAGTCAATAGGGTGTGGCTATCTGGAAAGAAACCGGGGACTAGAGATGCTCATCTATAAAAAACCGAAAAATACCTTACGAAACATACCTTGATAAGAAAAGGAGATTGTAACATTTTCTTTTAAGGATCGAGTTCGCGCCCTTTTATGTTTAGATTTGGCCTTTGCGATAGATAATGGCTGATTCAGTAAACGAGTGAAAGCAGGGACCACAGGCATTGGGACGTGCAGAAAAAAGGGAAATAAATGTGGTAATTAACTCGACACGCTAAACCGTAGTGTTATTTTAAAGAGGCGGTATTTTGAAATTAATCTGATTAGGAAAAGTAACTATTGACCTTTTCTCCCTCGACGGCAAACATCTACTTACGAAACGTGTACGAAAAAATTCACTTAAGTTAATTAATTAAAACACGAGTTAGTGAGAACAGAATTCGCTCCAAACAAGAGGTATATCTGGCATTTTAATTCGTAAACTTCTAAAACGTTGCACTGATTAAATTTTAGAGATCTTAACAATGCAGTGGACTGAATATTCATGAGCCTAATGGCAAAAAAAACCTACAGTGGAACCTAGATATAACGAAGGGGCAAGAGACTGGCAAAATATGTTCGTTATAACGTCCATAACGAGGTTTCGTTGTATCAAGGTTCTTTTCCATGTATTTTACTATTGCTAGGGCGAAGAATATCGTTCGTTATACCGAGGACTTCGCTACTTAGAGGTTCGTTAAATCGAGGTTCCACTGATTCCGGCATTCTACGAATATGGGCACAGAGCAGTGGAACTCAGTTTAGGAAGTCGTCTTTATTTTCTCGTAACGAGTTTTCCAAAGAGTCATTAAGGGTGATTTTTTAAACATTCCTCTGGAAATACTAGATTTGCCGAAATTCATGTTTTTCCGTATCTGTCGACAAACATGTCTGTAGTACGTGCTGACTTGCAGCTAGGTTCAAATTCTTTTTCAATTCTATTTTTTTTCAGTCTACAATCTCAACAACCAGATTTCAATGACCGATCTTTCCTTGCAGCCGAGCGGTTTCCGTGCTTGAAGATTGGAGATCTGAGCGACTTGAACATTACTAGAGCAAAAGGAGGCCATTGAAATGAACGAAGTGTCTTATTATCATACTGATCGCATAAACAATAATCCCGAACAGGAAATAATTTATCACTTTATGTTTTATTTTGTCAAAACAAGCTGACAGATTCAAGTGGAGTCTTACACAAACATTGATGTTATCTTGCAGTACTTGGAGGGAATCTTGGCTAAAACATAAAAGTCGTGAAATGTTAATGTGGTAAATAACAAGTACTGCATAGGTCCAGATATCAGTTCATGAAATAGTAAGTCCGTTTGGCTTCAGTATAAGCCGCGGTCAGCAACTTATCACGCCCGGAGACAAAGCTCAGCGTGAAGTATTTAAGTCTTCGGTGATTTTGTGGTGACCTAAAAAGAAAAGCCGCAAAAAGCCAACTAATGACGAAGTACACACAGAGCAATTAACAGGAACATATTAAAGAAGGGAAAGCTTTTAATTAATATTGCATTCTTCACTTTGTTTTGACGCTTGTGGTTTTAGGTATATTGAAACCCCTGGTGGTATAATAACCATATTAATAAAGAAAATAAACTAATTTAGGAAGCGGGAAGCGAATATCTGTCAACTTGTCAGTCTTATAACAGAGCTAATAACACTTAAGAGATATAGTAGTCTTACAGCGTGAATTTCAAAATTGTACTCGTTTTCTCTCAATGTTTGTAGCCAACATGAATTATTTGAAAGGATTACCTCAACTCAAGCACGCAATTTGTTAATTTAGCGAACGCTCACCCCCAATGTGCCACATGGTATAGTGTTGAATCTGTTTTATTGTCGATTCCAAATTATACATAGTCTAGAGTATTGACTCAATAATTAATTATCGGCTTGGCTTCATTCTTGTGATCTTTACGAAGAGTTATCTATAACTCTATAGTTTTATGACTGCACGACATTGTAAAACGTGAAAAGGGCCAGCTCTACGAAGCGACGGTATATTCAATTTTACTAAATACGTTCATACACCCATTTTCGCACTTTATGTGAAGCTTGATAGCATTTCTGATTACTTACGCCAAGTCTCTCAGTCTTTATTCTACATTGTTCAAGAAAGATCTGTTGGCATTCAGTTTTTGCCCGGCGTGGATCACATGTGAAAGTATTTAACTGGAGCAGATCTTTCCGCGGGATGAAAGCGCGGCTATGATTGAAGAACACGATCCGGAAATAAAACTTAAACTCTTTTCCAGCACCGCGAATAACAAATCCCTAAATGGTCTTAAATGTACATCAGTGTTGAAAACTTTGTTCAAGTTGTTCTTGTTTATCTTTCGTTTTATCTTAAGAGTTGATGACGGATGAAACTGAAGCCTGCTACTGATGAATTCGGGCGTCTTTCCTGATCATAGGAAATCGTAATTTTTGAAATGCCGCTAATTTTAATGCACGTATTACTAGATATTGTAAGTTATGACCTTTCTATGAAAAAGCTGAGGCTAAGCAAGGCCAAAATCTTAA